TTATTAACCCCTTATTAAAAAACCACCACTCAAACAATTTTTCAAGGTGGTACCCCATGAGTGGCTGAGTTACTCAATAATATGAATGTTTGGATGGTACTCTATTGTGCCCAACAACTTTTGGGGTTGGAAAAAAAACAAAAACCCTTTCTCCACCTTTCTTTGAGTAAAGCTGGTCCATTTACTTTAGGAAACCATATTTGTATTAAAGCTTTAAAATGCAAGGTTTTCCAAATAATTAGATGCCTTATTAAACCCTTATTAAAAACAGCATCCAAACAATTTTTCAAGGGGGTACCTCATGAGTGGCTCAGTTACTCAATAATATGAATGTTTGGATGGTACTCTATTGTGCCCAACAACTTTTGGGGTTGAAAAAAAAAACAAAAACCCTTGAAAGTAAATTGAAATCAATTGAAAGTAAATTGAAATCAATTGAAAGTAAATTGAAAGTAAATTGAACTCAATTGAAAGTAAATTGAAATCAATTGAAAGTAAATTGAAAGTAAATTGAAATCAATTGAAAGTAAATTGAGAGTAAATTGAAATCAATTGAAAGTAAATTGAAATCAATTGAAAGTAAATTGAAAGTAAATTGAAATCAATTGAAAGTAAATTGAAATCAATTGAAAGTAAATTGAAAGTAATTAAATTGAAATCAATTGAAAGTAAATTGAAATCAATTGAAAGTATATAAATTGAAAGTAAATTGAAATCAATTGAAAGTAAATTGAAATCAATTGAAAGTAAATTGAAATCAATTGAAAGTAAATTGAAAGTAAATTGAAATCAATTGAAAGTAAATTGAAATCAATTGAAAGTAAATTGAAAGTAAATTGAAATCAATTGAAAGTAAATTGAAAGTAAATTGAAAGTAAATTGAAAGTAAATTGAAAGTAAATTGAAATCAATCAATTAATTAAAAGTAAATTGAAATCAATTGAAAGTAAATTGATTTCAATTGAAAGTAAATTGAAATCAATTCAAAAAAATTGTTGAAGATGGGGGGGCGCAAAAAAATGGTCTGTTATTGAGTAGACTAAAATTGTTTGGGGGGGGGCCCCTCACACTAATCAGTCGACAACATTACTGTAAACCATGACTATAATATACCATTCATCAAACCAATATACCCTCTGGTAAACGTTTACATAGCTATTGAACATGGCCCAGTCGAAATAGTGGATTTACCCAGCTAGAAAATGGGTGGGTTGTCCATAGTTACGTAAACGTTTACCAGAGGGTATCCATTGCTATACCATGAATATCCAACAAAAACCATGCATAAACGACCTAGACCTGGGGCCACCCACGACTTCCCTCGCCCAAGCGCCAGTTGTCCAGCGCGCGGCCCTCAAAGTCGCGTTGATCACGTTGAGAGTCAGCCAAACCCGAGATTTTTTGTAAATGATTGGTGATGAATATTCCAAATCCCATACCATATGGTTATTTAACAGCCATGGAAAATCACCATTTTTAATAGGTAAACCATCTATAAATGGGCCATTTTCCATGGCTATGTTAAATAACCAGATGGTAAATGATAATGTAAATTCCATTAGATTCCATTAAATTCCATAAAAATTCCCATGAAAAATATTTGGATATGGGGATTGAAAATGGAATTTCATGGGAATTTTCATGGAATTTCGAGCTGATTTATGATGGCAAATGTGGAGGCAAATCGGTGGACTCACGTTTGGGGAGCTATGGGGAAAATAACCAACTAGTTATTGGAATTTATGCAACAACTTAGAACTCAGGGGCTCATCTTGTATGAGATATACCACCATTTTCAAACACACCAGGATATGGTATCAGTGGGTTGGTTTAAGGAACTTTGTTCTAAAAAAAACAGTGGTGTTTCCGAGAGTTATTTCCCTTCATCCAACCAATAACAGGATAGTGTATGTATAAATATAGTGAAACATAATTGCTGTATTGGTATGATCATCGTACAAGCCACAGAAACCCACATGTATGGGTATTAACCAATACCTGCTACCTGCTTGCCAAGCTTGTCACCCCCATCATGTTCATGCACCCATGGGCCTATGTTCCGAATAGTGCCATGATCTATGGACAAAGACTACTATCGGTGGTGTCCCAGATTTTTTGGGAAGTTGTGGCTTATAATATATATGCAGTTGCGTCCGGTGAACTAGGATTTGGGGTAGATTTTTTTAAATATCATATTATATCTGTACTTGATGGGGGTTTTAGACCAACTTGTAAGTAGTGGGGCCCACTTTGCCAATGGTTCCGGACACCTGAGGGCCTGTGACATTGTTCAAACTCTCAACTGGTTTCTTACAAGAGCATCCCGAGAAAAATGCAACGAATGACTGGAACACCCCTGAGGTTGGTTTGTTTGATCTGTGCTGGTGAAAAAAAGGTCCTCAACCCCCTCAAACCTACATATCAAATAACCAAACAATCTATTAAACTTCAATTGTATATACATAATCGGTATACATTATGTTTATGTATATATATACACATGTACATAATATGTATACATAACATATAAATATATATATATATACATAAGTATATATACCTAACAAATATTATAATTATATACTCACTGTATACATAAACACATATATATATATATACATTATTATTATATATTACTATAATATAATCTTATCATTTTCAAACGGAACTTTCAGTGCTGCCCCCGTCCTTGGAGGGCGATGCACGTCCAGACGCACCAAGCGACTTCGATCTCGAGCTCGGAGAGGTCTGGCGGTAGCGAGGGCTACATGTTTTATGACCTCCAGGTATAAAAGGTGGTTTAGAAGTAGAATAACTCTGGGATTTGTGGTGATTTATGCTGTCTTAATGATGATTTATGGTGATTTATGGTGATTTATTTAGAAGTAGAATAACTATGTGGCATGGGATTTGTGGTGATTTGTGGTGATCTATGATGATCTATGGTGATTTATGCTGTCTTAAGAATGATTTATGGTGATTTATGGCGATTCAGCTTCTGATTTATGGCGATTTAGCTTCTGATTTATGGTGACTTATACAGTGTCTGATTTATGGTGATTCAGGCTGATTTATGATTTTAAACTAACCACCGTCAACCTGGGTTCATGTGAAGTACCAGTTTTATAGATCCAATGATTCGCCATTGGAAAGTTCCTTCTAATGGTTGGTCCGACCACTGATTTCCCAGTTCATGGATTATGATATCCCCACCAGTACCATAATATCCTAGATTATATGGATTATTATATTCCAATTAATATACGTATTATATGGAGGTAGTACAAGCCACTGCCTATAATATCCTATCATCAACGATGGGTCTAGAATGCTCCTCAATTGGAACGGACCATCATCGACTCATGAAAAGGTAATGATGTAATAGGTACAGACAAGTCCAAAGGTTACTAATGCCTGTATGTCAGTGTGTTGTTAATTAATTTCAATGAGAAGTACATTACAATCACGAAAAAATTATGTCTGTAATGAAAACTTTCGTGCTTGCAAGGTACTTCTCATCATTTGCTCCCCACGCACAAAGTGTTCACTGGTTGTAAATGTTCGATCACGACGGAGAAGATTGATGATCGCTGACGTCAGCCTCACCTCCGTGGTGCAAGGTGATTCGTCGGGGCCATATTCTGCCCATTCTTCGGCGGAAGCGATCCGGCGGACCGTTCCACCGTTCCCGGTCCAGGAGGATGCGGAGGATGCGTTGTGCGCCCTCGCAGGTGCACTGTGTAAATGTGGCACCTCTCTGGCTCTTTTTGGATTTTTTCTGGTCAATGTGGATGTGATTACTGATTATCATTGTGCACACCCAGCTATTACTGGACGATGATAGCTGGGGAGATTACTTGTCCATGAATCAATCCTCAGCTATCATCGTCCAGTCACACTCAACAGCAACCGCCCACATATGGAGAGCTCCAAGCAGACCTCGACAGCCGCCGTCCCGAACCGCGCCTTGAAACCCATCGGTGGGCCATCGGGCATGGTGAAGCTGGGTGAATAGCCTTGAAAGATCACAGCAGCATTCGGATCGACGTTTGACGATTGGAGGATCATCCCAATGAATCATTGGTTGGTTACCAGTGGAGTGATCAATTACTCCGGTATGGAAAGTGAAAATTGCCATACTCCACTATTCAATGGATTGGTTTAAGGGAAAATTTACAGGAAAACCCCATATTTAATGGGAAAATCTATGGTTTCCTGTAGATCTTCCCTAAAACCAATCCATTGAACTATGGAAAGCTCATTTTTTGTGGATAACCGCTATGAATTGTGGACTTACCGATAGGTCCAACCACTGCTGGGATGATCCTCCAACTGGGATGACTATTTCCGACCAAAAATAACGGGAGCTTCACCTGCAATGTGGATCAGTACTGAGTAACACAAATCCCGATATTTTTTTTGGGTGGATTTTCAAGAGGATTGGACCAACAGGTCCGGTATGTTCACCAAGACACACGATTTTTTTTTCTGGGGCTTTGAACCCAAATACTAATATTAGGGGTCTCTGAATTAAAATGGGACCCCCCCAAACCTTGGGTTTCCATACTAAAAATGGTCTAACTTTTGGATGATTTGGGTTGTCTCAAAACTTCAGGAAACCTCCTTTTCAATCGCAGGGTCAGTCTAATCTATCACCAGCGCTTTTAAAGCACACCCTCTTTTTTTGTTTCAAATCTGGAACATTGACTGGTTGGTGGTTTTAACCATCTTGAAAAATATTAGCCAATGGGAAGGATTATCCCATATACTATGGAAAATAAAAGCCATGTTCCAGTCACCACCAAGCAGATGGTTTATATGACGGCACATATTCTAATCAGAAACCATGGGTTTGACCTTCAAACATAACGTCCAACCTTGAAGGAATTTCTCCGACAAATCAAAGCAAGATCATAAACTTGGCGCGTCCTTCAGTATACCCAAGCAGTTTCTATCAAACAATCTCAGGCGAAAATAGTTTGGGACTTTATTCCTTTTCCCAATATTTATGGGGTTACTGAGGATCTACTTGTATTAATATCATAATCATCAAACATTAAGATGAACCAACATTTCGATGAACCTTCTGGAAACTCTGGAAACACCGTGATTTGTGGGGCATTTCCGGATCATTTAAGTGGGTTTTCATCATTTTCTTGGCTACACATGTATATACATATACATATATATTTTATAGCTTCTCCAATGATTTTTTCGCCTGAAAGTAGGGTATCCCAAAATCTCCATGGTCGATCATCATGTGCCCGATTAAAACAATGATTTTTGGTGCATACACTATTTTTGAAGACAAACCCATCAGATTGTTACCACCATTTCTGCTGATTGCATTTATTGAAATACTCATATTTTGTGTGGTTAAACGCATGACTATTATAATTTATAGATGATGATTCTCCCGTTATTAAGCTATATAGCATCCCTTTGAAATAGCCATTTTTCTGGTGAAGATGCCCCACCAAAAAAAAAAACGATGAAATTCTCTGAAGACAACAGCAATGGCCAGGAACTATCTTCGATGCGGCAAGTGTAGTGCGTCCTTTTCTGCCTGCTTCGACTGCTTCGACATGACCCAACATGGGGTAGCAATGGGGCAGTGGCCAGGCATTTCTTTTTGGTCATGTTTCACATTTGACTATGGTACAACTTCATCATTGGATGAGTATAACTTTGTAGATGCTATAACTTTATGGTATAAGTTAACCTTGATGGGGTACTATGGATTGTTTGAGATGCTATAACTTCATCATCCACGTTTTGGGTATGTGAATGTATGTTGTGATTTTGGGCCATTCCCATCTAGCAGATGTATTCTTGTTCCTGTAATATGATTTTGTCCGACCTGTGCCCTAGACAGACTTTTCCAGCGGGATTTCAGACCCCTTAACCCCTAATATGGGGTTGCCTTGAAACAGAGTAATATTGCTACTTTAATGGGGAAACATATGAGAAACCATTGGATTTTGGGGTACTAATTACTAATTCTTTTCCACAAAACCATATCCCAATTTTCACCCAGGCAGGTTCAGAGACATCTTAAATATGGGTGGCACATGGGGCAGCCTCTGGTAAACAAATCTACTTGTAGTTCAGCAGTAGAATTTTCACAATCAGGTTCCTACATTTTGCGTTTTCTACTGGTGCATCCCAGTTAGCAAGTGCGTAACAGCCATAGAATAGTAATTCACTAATATTACTAATATCCAATTTCATATATGGAATATCCATGAATATCCCCAGTAATATCTGTGTATTTTCTTGGTCATCACCGACTTACTGAGATGCACATCCACGTACCCCCAGCGACACGTACCTCCTGCAGGGGTCTGTGGCACCTTTTGGCGTTAAGACCTGTGCGCCGCTAGTGCCAGCACTATCCGAGGTCGACATGATTATAAGTAGATATTTAATATGGAATCCAAATGGAATCTCAATGGATAGGAAGTTGAGAGATGTATCAATTAACATCTTAGATATTTAGATTCAGATATTCATTATATACATTACTTCTTGGGTGAAACCAATGGATATTCAGAAAAACCACAGGCTTTTAGGCCATCTATGCTAGTATTCAATTGAACTTTGTCATTCCAAGTATTAGACCATTATTTCCAAAGACCAGCCTGGTAGGTTTGGGATTCTTTTACCGTCCTGCACCCCTTGTGCACCCCATGACCACGGGGTGCAAAGCCCAAAGCCGTTTCAGAACAATTGGGGATTCCAAGAACAAAAACAACAATCCCCCTGCTTCAGCAACAAAGGCAATCTGCAAGCATTAGCTGTTCAATTGGGATCATCATCCCGGGTAGGTTTGAATACTTGAAACCAGAAGCCCAATCTCCAACCTTGCCACCCCAGGATATATCTTACAAAATTATATATATATATGGATTATGGACTCAAATACATTCTGAGAAGACTTAAGACTTAACCCCCTAAGTCCCTGTTTACACTGCCTCAGAAGGTAGGATCCTTCCATACCGCCCAGCCAGCAGCCTCCATAGTACTCTCGGGGCTCAAGATATCCTACGAGTACGGCAGAGGGAACTCATTTCGCCCTTATTTTGCACGGTTGCCATGGTCAATGGATTGGTTTAAGGGAACATTTTCTGGAAAGCCCCATATTCAATGGGAACATCTATGGTTTCCAGTTAAGATTTTCCCGTGAAAACCAAGCCATTGCCATGGGGTCAAAGCGGTAGCCATGGGTCCTCTGGTGGCTGACGACTGTCAAACAGCCGCCGCGTGGGCGTACGCCGCATGGCAATCACCTTGGTGTTAGAACCGGTTGACAAATCAGGTGGGACATGGAGATCTACCTGGCCTGGTCAACGTTAACATAGCTATTGAACATGGCAATTTATAGTGCTTTTACCCGTTGAAAATGGGTGGATTTTCCTTGATCCATAGTTATGTTTGTTTACCAGAGGGTAATCCAAGTATCTAATAATATGAATATCACAAGTGGTTGGTATACCTACCCCTCTGAAAAATATGACTTCGTCAGTTGGGATGATGACATTCCCAATATATGGGGAAAAAATCCAAACCACCAACCAAATAAGAATATGGATTAATTATCCTATTTCAATGGTAGGCACATTCATCATAAGACAAGTGTATAATCCCAAAAATAAACCCAGTGTGGGATGAGTCGAATCATGGGGATATAGTGGGATATAATCAGAGAATCTGATGGATCATGGATCTCCATGGGATGATATCAATGGATAACGATGAAAAATATCAATGTATATATGTATATCCCATAGGATCCATGGTGCTGGTATATATGCTAACATAAAGGGGGTTTTTGTTGATGGGATCCATGGAGCACCATATATAGCAGCACCATGGATCCGTCATGGGTATGTAAATATCAGTGGACAATGATGGGATAAAATCAACAATCATGGGAGTATAATGGGTTATATATATATATTATATAACCAACAATCAACAACAATAATGTGGGAAACACAACGCCACACACCTTAGGGATGGCTCTAATCCCACCCATTAGTGATTTTGGGGATAACAATCTGATGGATGTGTCTGAAAATGGTGTGATTGCCCCTCCCGTTGATGTTTTTGGAAGATGGATATGATCCCCAAATATGATCTCAGTGGTAAAATCACAATAGATTAATGGGTGCATCAACTATTTCCATCTTCAATGGCAAACTGTTAGTTTCCCAGAGGGTAATAATCATGAGCATCATATACCCTCTGGTAAACTAATATAACTATGGAAAATCCACCCATTTCGAATGGGTAAATCCACTATCGCTATGGCCATGGCTTCAATAGCAAACTGTTTACGTTTACCAGAGGGTATCTGATATGGTTTTAGTTGTATAAATCCACTATAAATGGCCATGTTCAATAGCAAATCCATTGCAAATCCAAATTCTTTATTCTGATCTCATGAAATTCCCGAGGTTGTGGGGTCTCAATCATGGTCTACCAGAGCAGATCACCAGGGGTTTTTGACAGGGTTTTTGGATCGCAAAATTTCAGCACCGGCGCCTGTGATGATACGCCTAGCCGGCCTAGCCGGCCTAGCCGGCATAGCCTCCATCGTTTTCACATTTCAGTGGATCTTCTACCTCCATAGGAAGAATCTGAGCTTGTCGAATTGAATCTATGGCCATTTTTCTCACGAATCTGTGGGCTGAAAAGAAAATTGAAGACCAGAAACGATGCACAGCTGTTCCCTGAAGATACCTATAGTGACTGATGAGTAGCACAGTTGCTGCCATCCAAATCCGTGAGATTCTGCGCTGCCCATGTCTGTTGATATCCATGGGAAACGACCAAAATTTTGGTTAAGATCCCTATATGAACCTGTTTTTTTTCACAACCCAATTTTGGCTCCTAAACTTCCCCATCTGGATAACAATCTCAATTTTTTCTCATCTCTTTTGCAACTTTCCACACATTCCAGGTCCTTTTTCGAAGTCCGACCCCTTGGGTCCCCTTCGGTTCCCTTGGCCGAGTGTCATCAGCGGCTGAGAAGGAACGACTCCAGAAGTTGTTGCTGCCCAAGGCATGGATGTTCTGTGCCGAGAGAGTCAGCGGCTGAGGCTACCGTGATGTTGAACAATTCGGTCACTGTGGGAGGCAGGTTTGAGTTTCCATGAAAAAAAAACATCTACAGAAATATCTGGTTGGTGGTTTTTCGCCCTACCCCTCTGAAAAATATGAGGAATCGTCAGTTGGGATGACTTTCCATTCCCAACTGAATGGAAAATAAAAGTCATGTTCCATTCCAGTCACCACCAACCAGATATATTGTTATTCCAATTATTAACCATAGATTAACCATGGATATACCATAGATTAACCACCAACCGTTCTGGGAAAAAAAACATGTTCCAGTCACCACCAACCAACCAGCTATGATGAACTATGGGGATCATGGGATCTCTATTTCACTTGGATGCAGTTGATAATGCTGTCAGAAAAACTGTCGAAACGAAATGTGGTAGATCCGGAAACAAAAACCATATATATATAATATATATATATAATATATATAATATATATATACCCATAGGATCCATGTATGCTATATATGGTAACATTTACCATCAATATACCCCGGGCCCAAATGTTAACATATATACCATACATGGATCCTATGGGATATATCTTATATATTATGATATACATACCGCATTTTTGAATAGACATTGGTTGAAAAGAAGCACCCCCAAAAAGATGTAGTTCTTGCCTGTAGGACATGACCCGTCATATCCTAGTTTCACCCGTCCAATTGCTGATGGGGAAATGTATGTTACGTCTGAAATGACAGGCCTGCCATGATTACGCGCACAAAAATAGACCATCAATCCTGAACAAACTGAACAAGGGAAAGATTCGCATTCCCAATAAACAATGCATGACCAAGATACTCAATCTGGAATCTACATCAATCCACTTAACACAATTTAGACCATTAATGTCATCTGCCTGTGATTTGAATCCGAAAGATATGACAGTCCTGGGGGATCATCATCATCGCTGGGATGAACACAATATGAACAGAATCACCAACCAAATACCAGTATGACTGATATACTTGCATCAAACCCATATATATATATATACATATGCATATTCCCATTATATATATATATTATACAATATTATACACACATATTATATATATATATATTTATCCCCATAATTCCCCTTAGTTGTTGGTTAACCCCCAACAAATTATTGGATGAGACCTTTCGGTCCTCCACTGACTGTCGATGATTTCGCAGAAACGCCCCCGTGGATGCCATGGCGATACGATCGAAGATGTCAACGATCACAAGTGAACGATATCATCCATCTATCTATCTATATATATATATATATATGTATATATATATATAATGTGAATTTTATATTATATGAATATATAAATATATATATATAAACATATATATATATATATATGATAGCATCTTCACTTGTGAATTCACACAAGTGATCTAATTGATACTTAACATATCATTCTATATATTATGAATTATTTATCAACTATCTATGATACAAATCTTTAAAAATTAACACCGTGGTGTGTTCTTACTCTAGATTTGCTGGCTTTGCCAGTCTGTTCTGGATTTGACATGATTGTTGCACGGCTGTTCTGGCTGCATCCGGAGCTAAAGATTGAGGTAAGTAACACACAGCATGTGCAGCATATGGAGCTGAAACTTTGGATCATTTGGATCATTTATGGCATGGCTTCACCATTTTGTCACCAACAAACTGCATGGATTTTGGCAATTGATTGTGCCATAGCAACCCCCTGGCATTTCCTTTTTGGGGTCGTCCCGGAGTCTACGGAGAGTGGAGATCGTTTCGCTCTCGTCTTTTCGTCTTTTCGCCACTTAAGAGGGCTCCCATTGGACACCCAACTCAGAGGCAAAGAGGAAAGCCTGCAGCCTGGGTGGGGGGTTAGTCATGTGGTCCTAAGAACATCTAAGAACCACTGGTTAGCAAAGTTGCTGCAACCTAGTTAGCTAAGCTGTTGATAAACTTAACTAAGTTAGATTTATGGTAGATTATAGATTTGTCATGACATATCAAACTATAGTTGTTTTGTACTGCGGGTTCAAAACTTATGAAAGTTAAGAATGGGCCAATTGATACATATGAAACTCAATTATCAAGCTACCAGGGCCCCAAATTCAAATGTCATGATATGTCTACTCATGACACGCCAACAAAAACATACATGTCATATAATTCTAATATTCATATATGTCCAACTATTTCTACAATGTGAGGCCCCCGTTCGATAGCTAAGTTGGTGCACACAACTCCAATAACTATGGTTTATGGTACGCAAATAACTATAGTTACTGGGGCGAATCTAAACCAACAAACATCACTGGGGGGGGCCAACTATTTCTATTAAAAATAACGATATAAAACACAGAACTCGCAGGTCCCAAGCCTGAAAGTTTCCCAACCCACCTGGGGCCTCCGGCAGCGGAATGGCCTTGATACCTTGGTACCGCAAAAACTGCTGGGATTTTTCAGCCACCCAAACTGCTGGATTTTTCAGGGTTAAACTATGTTAAACTATGTTGAACTCAGTAAACACCAATGGTGATTCGCATGGTGATTCCAATGGTGATTCGTTAACAAAGAGCTGCCCCCAAATAGGGATGACCATTGGGTCTACGAACTTCTGAGTCTTTCTGAGTCTGGGTGGTTCGACTCATCCGCACCAAAGACGTACGAAGCTGAGATCTGTGAAATCAAAAAGGTGGGCAATTCTGAGACGTGGGTTGATCAGACCATAGACGTGGGCAATTGGAAGACTATGAATGATTTAATAGTGGGATAAATTTAATAGTGAGATAAATTTATAATTGGAAGACTATATATTAAGATCAATTTATGTTGCCCACATTACATCTGATCTCAATGATTAACACATGTTGCAACATCATCCGACCAATCTTTTTGCGCAATTGCCAGGTTTCCAATGAACATCAATTTCGCGATTTTACTCCAAGAGTTGCTACGGAATTCAAGGGCTATCATTTGGGACTTCCAAAATCAGGATCATCAAAACACCCTCTGGTAAACGTTTACATAACTATGGAAAACATAACTATGGAAAACTATGGAAAACTATGGAAAATTTAACATAACTATGGAAAATCCACCCATTTTTAGGTGGAAAACTCACTATTTCGACTGGGCCATGTTCAATAGCAAACTGTAAAGGTTTACCAGGCCGGGTACCTTGGGGCACCAAACAATCACCAGATCTGGACGCACGGGGGACGTTCCTAGTGAATAAGTCGCTAGGCTTTAAGCGGAGTTTCCGGCAGATGTTTGGTGTTTTTGGTTTGGATCATGTGATATTCTTGTACTTTTACAATAATATATATATATATTGATATATATATTGATTGATTGTCTTCAGTTCATGGTTTAGCCATGTTTAGTCAACATCCTGGATCGTCGCCAAGCAACAGGAAATGTCCGCAAAGAGCAGCTGCACTTCCTGGGCTGCGGATTTCCAAGGATGATAACATGGTAATTTCCCGTAGAAATTCAGGACAAGTCCTTAAAAAAACCAGGTGATTTTACATAGCCATTAGTTGAATTACCAGAGAAAAATACTAGAGGTAGTTGTTAACAATCCTTTCTGATTGTGGATGATTGCTGACATCCACAAAAAACATGACTGGCTGGTGAATCAAAGTTGGGAATGGACCAAATGTCTGGGGTCGTTTGAGCCACAACCACGTGGTACTGGTACAAACTGATCACTTCTAGGAATGAAGTATACAAAAGCATGTGCACATGGCAGTGTGTTTTTGTTCATTGATTCATCAGAACAATCAAATGTTGGATAATGTAATGATGAAACAAAGATCTCAATGTTCAATATGATAATAATTATCCTGTGATATATTTAATGATGTATCAGATGTCTTGTCATTCAGCCAGAACTAGATGATGTGACAAAAGCCGGTTTATCCGCTATACAGCTAATATGCCACCGTTTAAGTACCATTCTAGGTGATGTTTAGCCATGTTTAGCCATCAACATAGGAAATTCGAGGACATATAGAGGTTCCATCCCATTTTCTGCTTGTGAAGTCATTTATTCAACACCTACCATCAATCCTGTTGTGTTATTTTTTTCACGGGATGTGATCGATGCCTCTTCCAGGCGGTTTGGTGACGGCTGCAGACACCCAAATGTATGACGGCAATTGCCGGGAAGCACCAAGGAGTGCCAATGGCATGCAATTTAATCTGGTTGGTGGTTTCAACCATCTTGAAAAATATGAAAGTCAATGGGAAGGATTATCCCATATATTATGGAAAATAAAAGCCATGATCCAAATGTTCCAAAACACCAACCAGTAATAGTTGTTGATGCGAACTTTGACCGGTAAAAAAATGGGATATCCAAGTCTTAGATTACTGGAGGTCGATGGGAAATACCAATGGGTCATACCCACGTGATCCCACACGATCCCCATGGCGGGTTTGAACATCTCGTCCAGCAGCTGAACTCCATTAAAACCATCCCCACTTTGGCTGGATTAAATTCTTATAATATCTTATAATGATTTACACAATTCCCAACGGATTTGTCTCAAAACAGGACCTACCCAGATTGCAATTTTACTTCTTAAAAACGACTATTTTTTTGACTATAATACACCATCGTAGAAATTGAGGTGTGTTAGGTTCAGACAAACCCAACTCAACCATCGTCCCGCACAATAACATACAATAACGATCATTGTCACTCATTACAAATTATAATCATCACTTCATGAAACACAAAAAAAACAAATAAAATATGTAAAAACATCCTTGAACTATAAAATATGTAGATATCAAAACATTAAACAAGTATCTGGCTGGTGGCTATACCTACCCCTCTGAAAAATGATGGAGTTCGTCAGTTGGGGTTATGAAATTCCCAATATATGGAAAGTCATAAAAATTCCATGGTTCCAGTCACCACCATGTAGATATATTGTTATTCCAATCATTAACCATAGATTAACCATAGATTAACCATAGATTAACCATAGATTAACCATAGATTAGCCATTATTTACCATAGTAAAACCATTGTTCCAGTCACCACCAACCACTTATGTTTAGATATGTTTAGCTATGTTTCTCGCGCCATCTAACTGTTCGTTGCTCCTCCCATTTTTCCAGCGCTGCCTCTGCCGACCATCCTCTTCTCCTTCTCCCATATGCGAACCATGGTGCTGGAATATGTACCAACATTTGCCCTTGTCCAAAATCACCCAGTTTTGTAGGTTTTTATACCAGCACCATGGAGCATTGGCATATGGGTATGTGTGTCAAAACCAATAGTACCCCTGTAGTTCACATCAAAATAGCTGGTAAATGGATGTTCATCCCCCTAAAAATGGTATTTCTAGGTATTGATCCATAGCCATATGGAAAGAATCCGCCAGTTCAATGTTTGGAATATTTACCAACATTTGCCCTAAAAATCACCCAAATGTAGGTAAATATACCATACATGGAGCATCTGGGTATGTTAAAAAAGCATCCATAGATTTTCCATGACCCACAGATACCCACAGTGCCTCGGGTCGTCGCGCCGCCAGCACCAGCTTGGCGCGGAAGGCGAAGACCGCCGCCGCCAGGACCGGGACCAGTTCCACCGCGTCGAAACTGGGAAGCTTCACCGGGGAGGCCCCAGAAAATGATGGAAAAATGATGATTTCACCAAGAAACCATGGGGAATTCCAAATTCAAACCATGATTTGATTACAAACATGATGGTTAGATTTCAACCAAAATCCTGTTTTTAGATGATTGAAACATCAACAACCTGTCATATTTACTGCACAGATTGGTGATTTGGGTAGAATCAAACATGGTGATGTATCCATCTAACTGAAATCGTGATTCAGACAATGGTGGGAACGCATATTTTGATGTGCAGCAACTTTTGTGAATCAGCAATATGGTATACTGATATACATATTTGTCGGTTTCATTCCAATATACCCATGCACTATTATGTGTTGTGCCATGCCAAAATATTCCATACCAAAGTATTGAAAAACAATTCTTCGTTTCTTACTTGTAGCACATGTAGAAAGGCTGCACTTTGCACCTAGGGATCTTCATCACCGAGTCACCCAAGGATTCGATCCCAGAGTTGCAAGACCTGCTCCGCGGGAAGACCTGGGCGGAACCAAAAGAAAACCATGGCATTTTTTTCATTTTTGACTACAAACAGTGATAATATGGACAAATAATTATTAACTATTAAAGCTATTGATAAGGACATGATAATTATGATATTAATTGACTGTTAAAGCTATTGATGGAAAAATCGCTAACCAAGACAGAGCCCATCACAAATTGGTGAAATGCTCTAGGGGCCAGCGCACGAAAGTAATAAAAACATGGCATGATGAATTCGGCAGGAAAAATCACCAGCTCATATCTGCAGAAAAGGAAAAAGAAAGGCAGGACCACAGCACTCGCCCACGTGGCTCCTTCAAGAGCTCAGGCAGAGACTAGGGTCGAAATCAAGGAAATGAAGTGGCGGATCTGGTGGGCAGCAGAAATTTCTGGCTGCGGGACTTTGCCCATCACGGAGTTGTACCCTCTGGTAATGACTAACATAGCTATTGAAAATGGCCAGTTATAGTGGATTTTCCCATTAAAAATGGTGATTTTCCATAGCTATGTTAGTCATTACCAGAGGGTAACTCATGGCTGCCTTCCGAATGATTCCTTCTTGGGACCAGCCTGCGGCTTCTCCGGGGCGTCACCTCCACTTTGAGAATGTATGGCGCGGCAAAGCACAACCCATCGGCTTTTGTTGGGGGATCCAGCAATTTAAGAAGCCACCAATATAGTGGCTGTGTTTGATATATATATACATATGAATGATAGTTATGTTTAAATGATGTTTACTTGTGTGCTGTATTTTTACCAAAAAAACGATTGTGTTTTTTGGAAGAACAAGAGTATACTGTAGTTATTTGTTTATGATTTATTATATGTTGATGTTCAATTATGTTCAAGTCGTTCTTTCCTTCCTGTTGATACTCGAAAAACTTCTTCTCCCAGGAGATGGTTCTGAGATGGTTCTGTTGGACGAACTTTCGCTGGTTATTTTGTTTGATTGGACGAGGGAACAGGCATCTTGTTCTTGCTGTCTTTTGTCAGGGTTTTGTCTTGTTGAGTAGATATTTATACTCGCCCACACCGCAGGTGCCGAGGCTTCTTTTTGTTGGCACACATGATCCGGAAGCAATTGCAATGGCTATTAGCATTACTAGCTATAAAGCTTTTGCCTGGAGGGGCCTATTTTGCTCTAAAATTGTGTGTTTTTCCACGTTTATATTAAAGGGACCTAAAATCGGCCAAGTTGCCAAACTTGGGCTCAACATGGGCCCAACATAGGCCCAACATAGGCCCAACATACTCCCAACATGCGGTTGTCGTCGCGAAGCCAGCCCCCCAATACGGTAGATACCCCCACATGGGGCCGATTGAGGAAGCAACAAACCGCTACAATCACCCAATTGGGTGCAACCCAACAAAAACAATCACCAGCAACAAGGAACCAACATTAAACAGTAAACACTTTAGTAAACACCAACACACAATCATAACACGCATTATTAAACAACAAACTGTCATTTAAAAAAAAAAACCTTAATCCCTCAATCCCTTTTCCGGAAGGGAGAATTCTGGGCAACATCTGAGAATTTACGAACCAGACATAAACCGATCTTATATGTATATATATAGTATAATGTGTACATATATATATATATATATGTGGTGGGTCAGACACTTTGAATTACTTTTTATGTTCATGTTTGGCATTGTTTGGCATGATTTCCCTCATCTATAATCATCTATATAAATTTGTTGTGACCTTTCTCCCCTTGGATAAATCTCCGCTGCAAGCAGCGAGAGCATCCCATGGTTTTTTTTTCAAGGCCTTGATATTTAAACCACGGATCTTACCAGCAAAATCCAGCAAAATCAGCGGGGCGAAACCTATCTTCCTCTAGATTTCTTCGCCGAAACCAATGGCACAAGCATGGTTTACAGCATACCCAAAAATCTATATACATCCATTGACACAACAAAGAACAGGTATGGATGGTATACTCAAGACTTTGCGTGGCAAAAATCATGCCAGCCCCGGAGTTTGTCAACTTGGCCCCTTCGTCCAGTTGGAAGCCACCAACCCGCCACCCTCACCGCAGTCCCCCAGATTTGTCCAAGTGACATCCCGCGAAAGCGGTCACGATCCAATGAAATGCATAACCTGGGCTGGCAGATGTTTCCAGCAACGCGCATGACACGAATGAAAAATCTTCCAATGAACAGTGGAATCTTTCAGGAATCTGAGCATATGGCGTCTAGCACACTGACATGGATAAATGAGATGTACAAGAGAGATTCATCCAGAACATTGTTTGCTTGGAGGATCTAAGTGTCGAAAAGAAAAGGCAAAGATACTCAGGGCAATCAAGCAGTGGTAGCATCATGTACCACCATCGAGTGTATTAGCATTTGACCTCCAATGTCAAATTGTCAAAGCCAATCATGAAGATCTTCCCATTCACTCAAATATACTCAAATGATCTGTTGGTAAATTTAAAAAATATGATCTGTTGGTAAATTTTAAGAAAAAACATTCAATATCCCATTGGTATTTAGCCAACTGGTAATACACATTCATTATCCCATCCATTTATTCATGATCTGTTGGTAGATGTAAACACTCTACCCTCTGGTAAACTAACATAACTATGGAAAATCACCATTTTTAATGGGAAAATCCACTATAAATGGTCATTTTCAATAGTTACGTTAAATTACCAGAGGGTATGTATAAACTTTCCCATTCACTGAATGGTGAAATCCGCAGGGACAACGGAACACTCGTTTCATCATCCCTACGGGCCCTTCGGGTTCCCCGGCGCAAGGGCGATGCATCCAAGGTGAACCTTGATCGACAACAAAGAATCCCATGTGTATCATGTTGTATCTATATACTAATGGATATATGTGATTTTTGTAGATTTGTGTATATCACTATAGAAAAGGTCAGTTTGGAGGAGAGGGCAGCAATTTTTGTATGATTTGTACTAGTAGTATTAGTAAAAGTAGTAGTACTAGTAGTACTAGCAGTACTAGTAGTAAAAGTAGTACGAGTAGTACGAGTAGTACTAGTAGTAAAAGTAGTACGAGTAGTACGAGTAGTACTTGTAGTACTAGTAGTACTAGTAGAAGTAGTAGTACTAGTAGTACTAGTAGTACTATTTGTACTAGTTGTACTAGTAGTACTGGTAGTACTAAACTTGTACTAAACTGGTGAATAACGTCATTCAGGCTGGGGCCCGCCTTGTACGATAGACTAAAAAAAAAAAAATTCGACCTCCTGAAGACTAAAACCCTAACCGCCCTTTTTGCGCGCAACCCATATAATTATATACATGGTTTTGACATGTTTTGAATTTTATCCTTGGATAATTTAGATATCACATTCCACTCCTCCATCGAAACAGGCGAAATCACATAATCATATCAATTCACAAACTGTTCGCCCAGGTTTACTTATGGTCGCCAGCTCATCTTGCTTACTTTTTCTGTCCGACTATCAATCCGCACAACCTACCATAAATCTCAAATCATTCCCAAAACTGATTGAGTCCGCTTGGTTTGCCTTACAAGTTGTTTTTTTTCCAGGATTCACTCATGTATTTGACCGCACTACGTATGGTGTTCTGCTGTTCCAAGCATTTTTTTTCATGGTGAAATCTTGAACGGTCTTTAACGCCAGTCCCAGCCACACATGGTGCGCAGCACGCGGTGCCGCTAGGTTTACCAAGTCTTCGAAAGTGCGACACAAGGAGAGCAGCCTGGGATGACGGGGGTAGCAGTTTCCGAAATGGAAACATCTAATGAGGAGGAACCTAACACTTCAACTTTAGATGGTTCATGGTGCATATATATATATATATATATACATATGATTGTTAAGGATTGGTACGGGACGACGTGTATATCCATGGATATACATGGTCAATCTTTGGTAGTCCAATAAAAATTGCTTGCTGATTATGACTATTTTCCGTTTATAGCAAACAACTAAAGGATTAAACTACCTATCCAGTTGGTTGGGGATATGTGTATATATACATATATACACGTATATATATAATATATATATATATGATTACCTACCTGACATGGTGATTTGCCATAGCCAACTCTTAGTTTACCAGTCTGTAGATATGTTTTTTGATCAACCAACCAGGGGGTTGGAAGCTTTCATCCACCAGGGCGGCATATCCCTTCTATTCGAGATGTTTGAGGGAACATCAACCATAGAAAAACCACAGAAAACCCATAGAAAACCATAGAAAAAAACATAGAAAACCCACGAAACAATGGTGAATTATTGCCTGGTTGGTGGTTTCAACCTACCCCTCTAAAAAATATGACGAATCGTCAGTTGGGATGATGAAATTCCCAATATATGGACAAGTAAAGTTTATGTTCCAAACCAGCAACCAGTTTCTCTTGCTTTGCTACTAATTCCGTTTGGTTTCCTGTGGAGTGGAAAAGTGGGACACAGAAAAATGATGTTTTGTAAATATAATCTACAAGCTTCACGAACACAGAACATAGTTCATCTGTTGGGGGATCCCTAATACAAACCCAGTGATTCTACAAAGTGGTGCCCCATACTTAGCCAAGCTGGGGCCAAGCTGTTTGATAACTCGATCTACTAGTCTTATGGATACAGTATTACCATCTGGTTATTTAACAGATCGCCATGGAAAATCACCATTTTTTAAAACGGTAAACCATCTATTTCTATGGACCATCTATACCATGGCGAACTGTTTGTCATAACTAGAGGCTAATCATTCTATAGATGATCTCCTTGAAACCAACAAGAAATCATTCCATGAAAAAATCCAGTGAGTGAAAAATCTTCCAAATTCCCATCCAAATTCCAGCTGTTTCCTTGGCATTTTTTATGGGCTGTTCGTAAAACCCATTGCCAATCAGCCAGATACCCTGCAAAAAATCACAAATTCTGAATGCTGGTGAACGGAGATATTCCCAGCCAGATACCAAAAGACTAGTTAGGATTAGTTTCTACCCATCCAGTCGATTGACCTAGATTTGTAGATCATTTTCCATTAATCACCATTCATAATCATTAATCATCATTAATCATCATTGAACATCATAGAATCACCATTGACCTATATATATATATATATTAAACCCTTGGATAAAACCATGTAAGATTGACCTAGAACCATGGTAAAAGCACCACGCGTGCCGCGCGCGTTGCGATGTTCACCGCATTTTCTGCGATTTTTCACCGAGGAACGTGTTAGGATGATCCGAGATGCTGTGCCTCTGCGACGATATGTGAACGATATCTTTGAGAAATCGGCATGGGAATGTGAATGTCTATAATGGTTAAGTAATGGTTAAGTAATGGTTAAGTAATGGTTAAGTAATGGTTAAGTAATGGTTAAGTAATGGTTAGTAATGGTTTGTAATGGTTAATAATGGTTAGTAATTAATGGTTAAAAATGGTTAATAAGCCCTATTCACGGTGAATAATGGTGATCATCATGGTGATGGGGAAATGGGATTTACCCTCTGGTGTCATCAAACTGGCTGGGATATCACTACACTAAGTGGAGGTTTAGTTCACTGGGAACATCATCAAACTAAATGGTCTTTCCGGCAAGCCATATTCGATAGCCGGAGGGTATACAGTGGATATAATGGATAGGGGATATCAACTGGGAATTTATGGGGATAGCCATCAATCATGGGAAAGGAATACGGTATGCACGGTCATACACTGGGCCCGGAATCACCCATTCATAGTGGACACCAATCGAAATCATGATGGATGGGGATGATTCATCACATATGACTGGGACCAGGACCAATGTCTAATTGGTGGTAAAACAACTCCTCTGAAAAATGATGGAGTTCGTCAGATTGGATCATCATCCCACCTCTTGGGGAAAATTGTCCAAAATTCCATGGTTCCAGTCACCACCAACCAGATATATTGTTATTGCAATTATTGGCCATTCTTAACCATAGATTAACCTTGCCATCTTGGGATCAGATAAAACTTGCCATCTTGGTGCATTCACCGCCGAAAATCGGCGTCACTGGGGATTTCAGAATTGGATCATCCCGACATGGGGTATATAATAGATCCCATTACCCATTACCGGATCCATGGTGCTGGTATATATATGCCAACATCAACATTGGGGGTATATTGATGGGATCCATGGCACACCATATATAGCAGCACCATGGATCCTATGGGTAATGGGATCTATAATGTTATACAGTTATAATATGTTATAATAATACTGCCAAAATGGCAATTGAAAGAAGAAACTATTTGTTGTGGCAGTCAGCATAACACCTAATGTACCTAACCATGACAATATATGACAAGATTTCACACCTCTCAGCCAGGGGTCATCAGTCAAAAAGTGGATGTATTGAACAAGTCAAAGAATCATGGCTTGTTGGTAGCTTCGACCCCTCATGGGCAATGTCTCCCACGAGCAACGTCGAAAACCATGGTGAACATCGAAGCACTAGAAGCTGCGGTTGCTGAAGACTTACAAAGATAAAACCTCTCAGAATGAAGAATTCAAGTGGAATCAAGTACAAGAAACATATATAAATATATTCGTGAAAACTACAATGTGAGGCCCCCAAGATAGCTAAGTTGGTTTATAGCTCCAATAATTATGGTTTATGGTACTTATAACTATAGTTACTGGTGATTATAAACCAACTTATAATTGGGGGGCCCCACATTGTAACTATGCAACCCTTGGCACAGTTTGTCTTCTCATTTTAAACATCATCCGGTGCACCCGTGTACCTCCGGTACGGTCCACCAGGTCTCCGAACAAACGGCACAAGTGACGGCAATAGAAGGCGCGGAAGATGGGATAGGCCTGGCCCATTGCGATGGCGCGGGAAAACTATGGGGTAGCCATTGTGCTTGATAGCTGGGGGAAGTTCCGGTAGTTTTTTTCCATTGTGGTTGATAGCCATTGAAGTTGACTTTGCCATATTATTGAGCTCCGGAGGCTCCGGTGACATGAAAGTGTGGACGTTTTTTTTTCTTATCCTTGACACATTCGTTGTTAAGCTGGGGATGTGACTACACAAATTTGGGATGGTTAAAACATATCTTAAAATACTTGCATCCCATTGAGAAACTTGCACATATCATCTGAGCCATGAAAAATACCTCTATCGCTGGTCAGTAGGCACTTGGGGTTGCATCCTTCTACATGGCTTATACTTCTGGATACGAGCTGTGGGGGCCACGTGGCACATCCAAGTGGTCCTACAGTATGGGTCAGAACATCCCCTATCAACTCTCATGGCTTGGGGATCCTCATCCCCCATCTGGGCCGCAATCATGGACACCAAGATCTCGTACCCGAATGCCAACACTTAACGGATGTAAAAATTCACCAAGAAGTTGATGTTTCTTAGAAAGTTACCCGGCAAAAACAGTTATAAAAGGCTACTCAAATGGTATCCTTACCATCAAACAGTCTACAAGGTGGAGCCACTAATGGTGATTTTTCTTGGTTCATAGCATTGGCATCATTAAACATATCTACCCTCTTGTAATTTGTTGCATAGCTATTGAAGCCATGGCCCATAGAAATAGTTGGTTTACCGGTTTACCTATTAAAGATGGTGATTTTGCAAAGCAATGTTAGTTAACCAGAGGGTATACTATCTCTATACCACAAATCCAATCGTTAACCAACCTAGCCACCAAGCGATCGCCAGCTTTGGGGCTCCACGGTTTCAATTTGGGAAACCCCACAGTTTCAAGGCGATCTGCCAGAAAGGCAAATGGACAAGCGTAGTTGGAGAATCCCTTGAAGGGAACCACCTGATGGCAACCGTGGCAACCCCTCATTTTTTGGGGAACTGTGACAATTCCCTAAATTCCAGAGGGGAAATCCGGGAAAACATCGGAAACATATGATGGAAATCCGCTGGAATGTTCTCTTGGGATAACTCAACATGTCAAACATGTCTCGAGAATTCTTGGTGGTTTTCGCACAGGCTTTGGACAGTGAACTGACAAAAGGTACTCTTCGAATGGACAATTTGTTTGGCGAAAAGAACAACGTCGCAACGTCGGAACGTCAAAAGTGTTGAACCAACAAGCCATCAGTCGCGTGATGACACCCCGCAGAGTGCGAGACATCATCCATATCGATCATGATCCCCATGGAGAAACCCCACGAGTTGAAACAAACAGCATGCAGTTGTTGGTTATGAACCATCTCAGGTAGCCGGTAGCCAGTAAATATAGCATCTTATCTTCTCGTTACATTAAACGCTTAACCACTTTTGCCACTTTGCTGATACTGCGTCAGTTGAACGCTCGGCTGGTGCAAGCAATCACCGGTGAAAGTCCGGCTGTACAACAGACTCGTCGGTGAACTCAATGCTGTTTAATTCTTGCAGATCCTCCGGTAACCTAGACTGGCTGCTTGTCAGCCGCCTTTCGGTCAAAAACCTGGAAACTGCAAATGCCAGGGCCCGATTCATTGCCTCGGGATAGATTTTCGCCCGGGCGGTGGAAAAGGATCCGTCTGGCTGAATTCCTTGCAATGGTTTGTGCTTTGTCATATGTGGGCACCTTCCTCTGAGTCCTTTGGTGAAAGTCAGATCTTTGAAAGTGTGAAGCCGGAGCAACAGCAATGTAGTGGGCTTTGTAGCATCCAGGCCATATATGCACTGATCAAATGAGCAGAGCTGCACACACTCCAATCTTGCCATCACTCTGATAGCTTGTAGCGTCCAGATAGATGATGGTCTGACCTTCATCAACCACACAGGAAACTGTGGATGTTCCATAAATCCGCAGAGTCCAAGCTGCGATGCAACAACCAAAAGGTCAACTAGGAACTGGATAAGTTTGGTGCCTGTCGACACCTGATCCCATTGCCGTCTGGTCAGTCCACTGACGCCCCACGGGCAATCATAAGAGCGCAGAGGCAACGGTCCTCCAGGTATGTGGCGAGCTGCTGACCAAGTCTCACAGCTTGGACCACCGCCAATACCAAGCACCTGCCCTTGGCGCATCTTCTTAATCCAGAACTCCTTCGTGTCAGCATCTGTTAAATCAGAAAACTTTTTGGCCAAGCAAAGGTCGACTGATATACAGAAGATCTGTTGTTCGCCAACAATTTCGTGACTCTCGATGCAGTGTTGTAAATCGCCTCTTCTGCGGAACCCGCTGAAAAAGTGCACGAATACAAAACAGGTAATATGTAGCCTTGCTGCCTCTGCAGCCAGGCCGAACTGCTTGTACATGCCTGCTTCTCCTTGTACATTTCCACCATTGGTCTGCATCAAGAAGGGCAGAATTTCAGCCTTTGGTTCATTGTTCTCATTCTGGTGCTCACAAAAACCATCAAGTCCTTCATAGGCTCGACCAGCATCCGGGGTACGGGCGTTCCATTTTTCTTTCATAATGGCTGCATCCTCAGAGCCACTTCCGGGCAATAGAGGGCCGTAACTTCGAACTGCTGGGAGGAAGGCCTTGAAAGGTGACCAACCCTGTGCTCGTAGAGCCCGGGCACAGTCTCTTTCATCTTCTTCAAGACGTTCAACCTGCGCCTCTGTTGCTGGAACAAAACAAGCAAAGTAAGTCTCCTTGCAAGTTATAGATGCTCCAACATGTGCAAGCGCTCGAGGACGGTTGAAAAACTTCTTTCCGCATGCAAGACATTCATCCCCAAGGACAAAATACTTAAGCATGGTACGGTACTGGTGCTTGTGCCTAGCATGAACCGCCAAGGCTTTTTTGGAATCAAACCCTGCGTCGCACAAATTGCATCGCCATTTTCTCCCATTGGCGGACTGCAGCAATTCTGGCAGGGAACCAAATTTGGAAATCTGTATCTGAACTCTGCATGTCCACAGCTTGCCTTTGGCATGTGTAACCGTAAACTTCTGGCATGATTTGAGAGCAGCACGCACACGTCCTTTCCACTTTTCATCAATGGCAATGAAAGCAATCAGATCTGCTACATCCTGAAACTCAGGTAAAACAACCCTGGGCAAATGAGTGCGCAACCATTTATAGGATAGCATCAACAATGGCATCCATGAGTGCTCACTTTCATTGGCATATAGCAGGGACCATAACGCAACCGGTGCAGTCGAAATGGCTCTTTTCACATATCGTAGTCTATTTGCGTGCAAAACATCAGATGGACCATTGAGCCCCATCAAAGCGCAGAGTTCTGCTGTCGAAAAGTGAAATGGTGGCACTGGACGTATGGTGTTTCGGGCAAGGGTTGCCACTTGAGTTCTGATGCCATTCTCCCACTGAGCAATATCCTTTTCAGTCACCCATGCCCAAGTATGCGCATTATATAAATGACGCGACATCACGAGGGCCTCGAAGACAGCACTTTTTGTGGAATCATGGACATTGCGCCTGCTATAGAACTGCTTGTTCAACTGACCAAATGCCTTGCGAGCTTGAGCTGTACGATGACGAATGTCTTTCATCACTATGGCATGATCCTGCATAAAAGAACCAAGGTGCTTGTAGGAGTGGACAAGCTGGAGGGTTTGTACACCATGTTCAGTAACTATGGGCAATTTCCCCCCGTATTCATGCCAAACCTTTTGCTTGACTTTTTTGGATCCGAGTCCAGCAAGCTTGATCAAGGCCTCAGTTTTACCTGTCTGGTAGTTGATGGCAAGCCCGCGAGATGCTGCAGCGTCATGTAGGCATGATGAAATGATCTGGAGCGATCGGATCACATCTTCCGGTGACTTCGAATGCAAAGCATATGCAATGTCATCTACAAATGTGACCTCAGCAAAACCTCTTTCTGGTACAGACTCTGCCTTGGAGACATCGATTGATCTTTTTGGACAGCCGAAACAGCACATGCTTGTTGACTGTTCAATCTTGGCCCGTGCATCAAGTACAACTAGCTTGAAAACCATGTTGAACATAATGTCGGCAACTGGATCACCAGGTCTCGTTCCCCTCATTGTGGCTGTTTTCCCTTGCAGCCCCTGCATAGAGAAGTGCGTACCTGAGAACATGTCTTTGAGGATGCCTTCATGATGCTGACTCAAACCTGCCGTTGCATCATCGGCGGCTATGGTACCTTTAATCTCGTGCCACTCATCTGGAGTAATGCCCAGCTGCTTCATTGCATAACAGATAGCATCATCATGGAATTCACCCTCGAAAAAGGAAGATCTCAGAACCGAATAAAAGGCTGACTGCAGATCAACGAAGAGAATTGCACACGACACATTGGCCGCTCTTGCCCAAGCGAGGTGTGCATGCATCATGTGATGTGCAACATCAGTAGAGCACCCTTTTCGTCCTCCCAGCTGGATGAGGGATTCTTCTCCGTTCCAGACGTCGGCCAGGCTTTCTCACATGCCGGCATGGTGAATTTTCGCACATACATCTGATAGAAAGATGGATCTATACGCTGTCGGCTCAGCTGGAGATCCTTTTCCTTTAAAAAGCGGGACTAGCAGCCCGCCCTTCCAATTCAGCGGCTCTTTCATATGCCAGGAAGCCTTGACCAGCAAAGGTGTCAGGATCTTGGCCATTGTGTATCCTCCACACTTGATGATGTCCACAGGCAACTGACCTGGCCCTGGAACTTTCCCATTTTTGAATTTACGAATCAAGGCAAGAACTTGACATGGGTCAGGGCAGTTGTCTGGGTCTGGCTCTGAACAGCTTGGTAATTCAGCATGAAACTGAGCAAGCTGGGGATCGGACACCTCAACACCTGCCTCAATAATTGCAAACTGATTTTTCCACACCTGTTGGCATTCTTCGAAAGTGCAGGCAAATGTCTCATCTGAAATCTTGAGCTTCGGCAAGGGTCGAGGGCCTTTGCTCAGGTCCTTCTTCCTACGACCGAGCCTCTGGAGTTTCTTGTACACATATGCAACATCGTGCTGCATCCAATCATCATTGATAGAGTCAAGCCATTCAGCATACCACCTCTTCTGGTCAGCAAGCACCATGACTTTGACAGTCTTTTCGAGAGACTTGAGCTCTTCGACAAGGGTACTGTCCTGGAAGCCTTGTTTGCGTGCCATATCAAGAGCTTGCCTCTTCAATTGAATGCCTGCAATCGTTTGAGAGCTTAAAACTGGGCGCACCCTTTGTTTCCGTGGTGCACCAAAGTGCTGTGTGGCAAGTTGCAGAATGTTGGATTCTAAAAGCGCAGAATGATCGTCCACTGAAACGTCCCAGGAAGGCATTGGTAGTGTGGACAAAGCTTCAGCAAACGCTTTTTGTGCAACTGGATCCTGCATCTTTCTGTAATCCCATCTGAACTTTCTGGTTGACGGCTTAGCAAGAAAGATGCCTTCGAGCTCACAAACTGCTGGACAATGGTCGAGATGACCGAACCCACCGTCAAAGTCCGTCAAAACAGATGACTTCACACATATCAAAAACATGGATCGGCTAAGAAGGACATAGTCTCTTCGAAATTGTCCTCCCCTCGGATGCCTCCATGTGGCGGAGGGGCCATCGTGGGTTTGAAAGGTTGATGGCACAAACACTTCATTGGTAATCAAAAAATCTTGAAATTCAAGTCCTCGCTGATTCATTTCTTCTGAATGGTGCGTACCAAAGAAGATGGTTTCATGATCTGCAAGGGGAGCATTTGCATCAATCAAGATGATGGCATTAGTGCCTGCCGTGTAACCAACCTTTTCGGCCAAATCTTGCCACCATTGTTTGACCTGATCGATTGGCCTTGCAGCTGACACACACGGTGCATGCGCAACCACCACACTGAAGCTAATGGGTCCTTCAAACTTGGCGACCAACAAACGGGGGTCAGACATTGTGATGGTCACTTTGCAGTCACT